TATGTTTGTCTTTAAACTAAGCCATTCTAGAGTTTTGGGACTTGGCCAGTACTTTCTGTATTGAGGTGTTTTCTGGTTTCATGTGTTGGTAGGAAGCCAAAAATCTATGCTTTTAACTATTAATTTGGATTAAATATCTTGCATGTGCAGCTTTGTTGCAATTAATTAAATACATTTGTTGTAATTATTTAATATTTAGTCCATATTCTCTCTCTGCCTGCAATTATTTGTAGACACGATATGTCTTTAAAAACAAAGTCTAAAATAAGCAGCAAATGTCATGCTCCAGGAAATTCAAGTGATGAGTTAGATCCTCTTCAGAACAATTTTGTCACTTTTTCCTAGCCAGGTGGATAAAGAAGAATTCCCTTTCCTCGAGCAGTGGGAATTAATTTCATGTTTACCTTTTCCTTTTATTAACTTCCAGTTATTTTCTTTCATGTAGAATCTTACCATGGAGACAGACTTGACAGCTGCAAATGGCAAAAAAGTCAAAGCACTTGAGATATTTGCTTATGCTCTGCAGTTCTTTAAGGAACAGGCATTAAAGGTAGGGTAATGCTTCCTTATCTAGATTTTCTGTATTTATAATTGTTATAAATGTGAGCTTAACACTTCTAACCTTGCCAGGCTTTGTCCTCAGTAGTATTTGATGTAAACAAGGCAAGGCAGCTGTAGAAACTCTAGGCAGGCTGTGGACTTGGGAGAGCTCACAATAGCCTGAAGTGATTTCCCGTAGCACAGGGGAAGCTTTATTCAATAATAGTAAGTGTATCACTGTGATGCTGAGTTCTGAATATCTTCTTACCAGCTTAAATATCTTCTACTGTTTTTTTTTCATGAAAAAATATTGATTTGAAAAGAAAATTCAAAAGTACAGGAGCTTAAGCTCAGGAATTAAATTTGAGACTGAGTCCTGTCCTCGTCCCCTGCACTTCTGCTGCTGGGACAATGGATTGTTCTGTGTTCATGCGAGGTTCTCTCTCATGTTAAAGAGTTGGCACTGTGAAACACAACAGGATGGGCACCTACTGATGTCTCCTGCCCTAACCTGACTTCGTTGATTAAGCAAAGGGAAGTCAGATGAGCTGGATTAATTTTGTGATAGATTATTAAAAGCTCATCTATAATTTGGTGACTTGAGTCTCACTATAAGTCTGTACAAAGATGACCTGCTGAGGTGTACAAGCTGCCCAGCCTGGTGGAAATAGTGTAATTATGCCAGTGCAATGATCTGTACAGGCTGCTTGATTGCACTGAGAGGTTCAGTATATTACCGCACGTGGAATTCTGCACCAGCACAGAGATATAGCCTCCATTACCCAAACCAACTCAGGTAACTTTGCGCAACACTCCTTTATTCTGTTTTACACAGTTAAACTGTAGTGCGTGTGCCAAAGAACTGCAGTTAGGCTATGGCATTTTGGCCCTGTGCTGACCCTTTGCAGGGGTGAATTTCATGTTGTTGTGCTGTGAGATGTTATTTGGTTGCCCAGATCCTGAATGCCTGTTAATGAAGAAAATCTAACAAGCATTAGGGAGAACCAAAAAGAAAGACAGACACCTGCTAGGGGTTTAATTTGTAAATTCATACTGTGGTCTCATGGACTGCCTCCATTTATGTTGCCTTTTTTTTTCTTCCCCTTTTTTTTTTGCCCATTTTTATTTTCCCTACTATGGCTGGTGTTGGTAGGAAAAATGCATTGTATTTCCCATTTCCCATCCAAAATGTGGCAGTACTCGTTTCTTGTGTCACAAGATTGTTTTTTTTATATTCTCCTGTGAAATACATGTCTCCAGTAAACAGTTTTTGAGATTTAAAATCTCATGTAAACAGTCACATGTGAATTAAGTACACATTGGCTTCAAAAGTGCTGCTATAATGTCAATGTAACCATAGTAGTTACTGGGTCAAATCAGAACATTAATGCAAGCAAGCGTTGTTTAACATAGCCTTGTTGTTGAAAACTAACCTACTTTTTGTAATGGGTTTAATTTATTCTCTGTGAGATCTAAGTCTATTCTTTATGGCTACAGAGAAACAATCCTACTATTACAACTCAAATTCCTCATCTTGTGAAAGACTTATTTAACTAGATTTTGGGGTTGATTGTGGAGTCACAAACTTGAACCTGTGCATAGTCTGGGGAAATTCTTAGTGAATATTGACACTGTTGGATATGATCCCATATATTTGCTGTGCTGCCTGTTCAGGGCTACATCCTTTCTTGATGTTAATAAATAAATCCCTGTGATTTGTGAGTGCGTGCTGAAGCTAATTAGACAAGTGATGTAGATGAACTGTTACTTTGGACTATAACCTGTCCGTTCCTGGTGCCCTGTGCAGTATAAAGGTACTACTTTTCTAGCATGGATTTTTGAACTGCAGCATAGCTAAACAAACACAACACCTTGGCACAGCACATGCAAAAACATTTTTTTACATTCTAAAGGCCCGTTGTTCACCTTTCTGAACCTTACCCTGTTTGGATGGAAATTTAGATAGGACATATGGTAATGACATTTTACTTGGAACCTTTCCCAAAACATGTCAGTATATCACCTAATTTGCAAATGCAATACAGACTTTCCTCTTTTTAAGGGGAAAAAAAAAAAAAGGACAATAAAAGAACTAAACTAGTCTTGAATGTTTGCTTAAAGCAAAATTTTTAAGGAGCAATCAGTCATTTTTTTAAAGGGTTTAACTGTAACTTCCCCTTGTTAACCAGGTTGTAAAAATTTGATTTAAAGGTAAGTAGTGTATAAAGAAGTCATTGAAAAATCCAGATTGTAAAACATAATGTTCATCAGTGATACCTCAAATGTTTTTCTGTGTATTAATACAAGATGCAAGTGTGAATTCTTCAAACTAACAACAAATCCCACACTGTGACTAAGAATGCACATAAATGTTCTGTAGTATTTAGCAGTGCATGAGCTGCTTTTGGAAAAACTAACTTTTCTACTTCATGTCAAGCAGTGAACTTTTCTACAGGCCTCCTTGAGAAGGCATCGACCCTAATCGCAGCTTTTGGCACAGTAGAGTATTCTTGACGGGTTGGCAATAATTCTGATTTGTAGCATAGATGTTACAGGAAAAAAAATTGAGAAGAGAAAGTTACTGTTACTGGAGCCCGCTGAGAAAAATGTTTTATTATATAAAAGTTGACACCCATCAGTTTGCATTCATCTCTGTTTTCTTTTTATTTAGGAGCTCAGTGACCAAGGAGGCTCAGACTTTGAAAACACTGAAGTAAGATGGGTCATTACAGTGCCTGCTATCTGGAAGCAGCCTGCAAAACAGTTTATGAGACAAGCTGCCTACAAGGTAAGATTACAGGCTGGATGTAGAAATGCTCCTGTAAAGCCCTAGTTGACAGACTAAATGATAAATGTATTTGGGACAATTAGCTCTAGTATAAACTGTATAAAAATGGTCTAGAAAAGAGACTAGAAACATTGAAAGAGAAGTTACCTCTACCAAGCAGTAGCCTTAAGTCATACATATTCACCTCTTAAATGCCTTTTTCTTTCTATTTACTTTTATATATTGCTGTCCTTCCCTGTGGACTCTGATGTTTTAGTCATCTTGTACACTAAAAATTCAGTGCACATGGAACAGATGCAGTTTTGAGACCCAAGGGAAAGTTGATTTTAAAATACTGGACACAGTTTTGTTTTGTTATTTTCTTTAGGTCATCGCAGATTTTTAAAATAAAAAAAAAAAAGGAAGAGGAGGGAAAGCAAAGAGCCTCCTCAGTGGGACTTTTTTTCCAGTTCCTATTTTCCCACAGTAGGAATGAAAGGACTGTGAACCGGATAGTCTGGATATAAAATTAAATTCAAAAGTTATTTTCACCAGTAAGAGGTTTATCTGCATTTAACCCTTTCTCCCCACCCCCCCCAATATGTGCACTTGCCATATGCATGTCCTTTATTTCAAATTCAGTTTGCGTCTTTGATACACAAGATGTACACATTCTTCTTTTCATCAGGATATTCATTTTCCATTTTGTTTTATTTATTTTTTGTCAGAAACTTGCGTAACCCATTGGCAGCAGCTACGCGATACATGGTTTGTAAAATATCTAGTAGTCATGAGTAATTTGCAGAGTGCTCCTGGGAAGCACCCAGATTTTTCTAACTCTGTTTCTAACTATCTCTAATGTTGAGCAACATTTTTCTTAACAGTCGTTATTGTGGGATTGCTAATGCTAGTGCCAGAAGCAAAACACTCTTAAAGTTCTGATGGAAGGACACGGTTGTAGGTAAATCTGAAACGCCAGAGACCCATGCATTATCTTTGTATATTGTTGTCTGCCTGCTGTCTGTGTGCATGTGTGCTCGTGAACTGGGAGCTGTGTAAGGAGCAGGGCAGGGTAAGGTAGACCTCTTGGCATTTCTCATTTGTGGCACAATGGAATGTTGTTAATTAGTGTCTGTGTCTGTGGTTGTGTCTGTGATTGTGTACTTTTATTGGCAAGCTTGATAAATAGCCAGGACTGACAAGGCTTTTAACTCGGGATATGTGATCAGTTGCAGGAAAACATAAGAGTTTAGGGAAATAATTGATGTTTCCTTGACATACATGGTTGATTTTTTTTAAAGTAATGGGGATGGAGAAAGAAGTGCAGAAAACAGAGTTCTGCACTGCCGTTCAGTCTTTCAGATTCCTATTGCTGGATCCAACATGTTCCTCAAACCATTATGTACAGAGGGATCAGAAGTTGCAGCCTGTGTTGCTAGCTGTTGGAACATCCAAGCATCATGAAAATGAGAGCTTGTTGTCGTAAACGTAATCAGGGCATTGAGTAGAGAAAAGTTGTGAAAAGGCAGTGGCAGAAACTTTGTTATTGGAAACACACTGAAGTACAACCACTAGTCTAAGCTGAGAGTTGACTAGTGGGAAATGTTAATGAGCTGTGGAAATCTGCTGGAGTATTCTGTGGCAAGTGAGGTAGCTCTAGGAGAGCAAAAGTACTAATGGCTTCAGTCATCAGTTCACAATGTAAAGCCCAGCCTTTCTGGAATGGTTAAGTAGTTGTCTAGGCAAAGCTAAATATTGCATGGAATTAATTAAGTCAAGAAAGAAGTGTGGTAAATCTGCTTCTGCACTCCACATCCATCAGCTTTTGTGCAGCTTACAATCTCAGTGCATCTCTGACATCCCCTCATCTCTGCCTTGCCTTGAACAAAACATTGCTAACCTGGAACTCTTAATCTGCCCAAAGGCTCCCGCAATGCTCCCTTCCAGCTGCTGTGCTTTCTCATCTGAATGAGTAATTTGGGTGTTCCCTTCAGCTCACAGTTCTTCCTCTCTCCTTCCATCCAGCCTATCAAAATCCTGCTAATTCTGTCTACATGACAGCTTTTCCTGTCTGTGCATACTGCTGAGCTTTCATCAAAGCTGTCACAGATTTTGCATCTTGGTTACTGCAACATCATTTCCTTGGCTTTGGCAAGGCCTGGTTTGTATCTCTTCAGAATATTGCTGCTAAAGGGTTTTGTAGCCTCGCATTTGACAGGGAATCAACCTACATTTGACTCCTTCATCTGCGTCATCTCAGACATAAGCTGCATGTCCTGGACGTGAACATCTGTAACGCTAACTCATTTTCTTTCTCTGAATGCCTCTAAAATGCTGTTTTTTTCATGCCTTCAAAAACTTGACTGTGATTAACATACTGATATGTGAAAACTGCTCCTTGTTGCTTCTTGCTGTTACTCTACCTGCCCCATCTGTATTAATCTGTTGTGCTTTTTGTATCCTTAAATCTTTTTATACTTTAGTTGTTACCTCTTTGAAGCAGGTATTTCTTGATTCTCATTGTCTTGCTGTCCACGTTTTTCTGAGGGACTGAGTCTGCTAGGCTGCAGAGAGCTGCATGTCTTTACAGCTTCACTTTACTGAATCAAAATTGCTTTCTTCCTGAATAACAATTCACAGACACTTCTCCTGTCCCTTGTGCTTAATTCCTATGTGTCCAGAGGTAGTTCTAAAGCTGTGTGACACCTGTTGAGGTCTGGTCACATTTGGAGAGAGAGCAGACTGTCATCTCTGTAGGACCCACTTTGGCTTAAGTTTCCTTTCCCGAAGTGTGTCTTCTGGGATTAGTGTGCATCGCATCTGTGTTTGTTACATCCTGAATAATGACTGTTAGGATGCATCACTCGGGTTTCCCATTGTCCCCTCCAGTGAAATATAAAGTATCATAAATAGTGTTAACTTCTCTTGTTTCTGTGTCCTAGTTGTTCTGTTTCAAATTCTTTGCTTTGGTGTAGTTCTGTCAGAAGTGCTGTATTTACCAATATTAGAAGGAATCCCATTCTCATGAAGAACTCGCATTGTGAGTAATAAATTCCAATTGCTGATATGTTTTCTTATTTTGGAGACTTCGGCAACGTGGTTTGGTTGGACAGCATGTGGGAGGACTCCGTCCCGCTCGCGTGGGTGGGACCTGCCCTTATTCTCGTCCTTGCAGAAGCAGCCAAATGCAACTTCCTGCACTGGGCCTGAGGTTTAGACCCCAGCATGGAAAAATGGCTTAGGTGTGGAGGCAAGCCACATCCTGCTCGTGAACATGGCCTGGCACTTCCAGCCTCATCAGAATGGTGTGTGAACATGGACACAAAACCGGGATCCCATCTCAGTGTCATCTGTGTTTGTACTGACACAAGAAAATTCAGTGTTTTGTTAGTCTTGTATTACTGATGATTAAAAAAAAAAAAAAAAAAAGAATTGTGTGTTCACTAATGGAAAGGTGAAACTCTAAAAGTATTCAAGACCATTTGTGTAGAAATCCATTGAATCTAGGTGGGCGTGAATAGTTGGTTCAGTCTTAAGAGCACTTTGCTGTCTTAATATGTTACTATGAGCAGCACTTTTAATTCCTTATCCAAATGAAATTCAGGCACGGTAGAGTGTTTATTAGAGGAACCCAGGATCCAATATTCTTGGCAGAGCGTTTCTTTTTAGTAAAGGCATTCTTCCAGCTCATCTTTCAATACACATTCTTTGGGCACAGCAAGTACAGAGCAGAATCTGCAGGCCTGAATTCTTTTAGCGTGCCAATAGGAGTAAGGTTTTAAGGAAGAGTTTGAAGTTTGACAGGAGTATGTGAATGCAGAAGCTATAAAATAAGAAAGTAAAACATGGCGTACCAAATACGCTCAGAGCAGAGCAAAGGAAAGGGAAAGATAGTGCATTTTTGTAAGCTGGCCCAAAATATTCCATAGGCTTATGAACAACTTTCAGCTGGTCTACTTAGAAATATTGAGGGTTCTTTTCTTTTAATATGAACTGTTGATTTTGAAACGGAGTTCTAGAGCTCTGAAGTAGATTTATCTTTCAATTACAAATAGCAAAATCATTTGCATGGTAAGCTCATATAAATAAACAGAGAGGAAGTCTAGGTTATAGGATTAAGCATGTGAGCCTGGAATTCCAGAGGCTTTCTTTAACCAGCTCTTATGCTGAATATTTATTAATGTTTTCACATCAGTTTTGTCATGGAATGTGCATGATGAGAATTATTTAACACATTGTGTTCCAGGGTTACATTACATTACATTGATCAGTACTAGACTGCTCTGTAGAAACCTTCGGAGAAAAGTAAACAAATTTGTTGAAAGAGTG